TTCAAATTCTAATATTGTAGATTATAAGCCTAACACTCAACTATACAATTTAACTTGTAAGGTAAGTGTTACTCTAACTTATGTACTCTTTAATTATTTTATTTTCAATCAATGTGGGACTTGAAGATTTTTTAAAATATTAAACTTATGAATTTAAATAGATTTTTTTTTATTTTTCCTGCGAATTAAAATTTGCAGGAAAATCCGCAGGAAAAGTTACCTGCAAAATTTTTCTACCATTTAGTAAACATTATTTGTGGATTTATTTTTGCAAGAAAATATGCAAGAAACAAAATAAAATTCTTACAATATTTTCTGCAAATTTTTACCATGAAAATATATTTTCGTGATTATTAAAATTGTAGCAAAATTTGTAAAAAATATCTGTAAATTATTTTTTTGCAGAAAAGTTTACAAAAAATTTCTGCGAATATTTTTTTGTAGGCAAATTCGCAAAAACTTTCCATGAATATTTTTTTGCAAGAAAATTTATAAAAAAATAACACTTTTCTAGTAGTGCGGCAACTCACAGTGATTGATACTAAGAATGCATGCATGGGAGTTCATAAATTTTCTTCGTCTTGTTTTATTTCCTTTTCTTAAATAAAATCTATGCCAGTGGAACCTGTTTTTGTTCTTAATCAATTTATTTTTAGATTTTTATATGCTAATTAGGATTTAAAAGAATTTTCTTTATTTTTTTATTCATTAGAACATTCTTTATTTTTTAATATACAAGAATTTAACTTGAATTTTTAATTGATATGTGGATTTCACAATGAGTCTTATTTATTTATTTTTATTTAAAATAGTTAAGTGAGAATAATAAAATATTTTTTATTGATAAAAACCGTTTCTTATATAAAACAATTCTTACACTGTCATCTACATAAGTATGCTTTAGTAGTAAAATTTACGAGAACCAATTTTTATATTTAAGAATACAGTTAAAAACTCTTATTAGAGATGACCATAATTCTTTTTTAGTTTTCCTTTTAAATTAGTTATTAAGTTCTAATTACCCATATATTAAAGTGAGTTTTTATAATTAAAAAGTTTTTAAAAAATAAAGAGCTTTAAATAATAAGGTATGTTTTTAGTAAGTTTTTAAACTTTTGACATTATGGTTCCAAAACACTCTTATAAAGGGTCTATTAGACCTAAACCTAATTCTTTTTTTTTTTACACAATGTGAAAACATTACCAAGGATGATAGTGTCCAAAAGTGGAGATTTCTCAATGTTGGACTTGCTAAGAAGAGACATCAATGTCAGTTCACGGTAAAGTGTTGCCAACATTGAAATCACGATAGCCATGTTGATAAAGGGTTCATGTGAGAAAGGAAAAATAAAGGTATTGAGAGTGTGAATGCAAAAATGTAACATATATATTTTTTAAAAATGACATATTACATTAGTTCTAATTAAAACTGAAGTAGAAAGAGTTTTTTTTTTCTTTCACATTAGTTATTTTGGAACTGATGTAAAAAAGATTATTTTACATCAATTATTTTAAATTTATATAAAAAAGTTACTTTAAATTGAAAAAAGTCATAGTGTGACTTTAATTTTATTATTATACAACTGATATAGAAAGACGTTGAAGAATATATTTTTACACTAATCATTATTAATTCAAACTTATTGAAAATCATAAATTTTTGTTGATTTCAATTTTATTTAATGCATCTAACTCATATATTTATAAATTTTTTAATTAACAATAGAAAAAAATGATTTAAAAAAAGTATTCCTACTTTCTAGCACTTCTTTAATTGTTAATTTAATTATTATAAATATTAACAAATATACCATATTAGTTTCTTCTTAGTCTCACCATTCTTTCATAAAAAAGAAAGATATCATCTAAGAAAAGAAGATATTGTTTGTTTTAAATTTTGATTTTCTGTTGTTCTAAAAACATTGATTTCTTTTCTTAATGTATCTATAGATAAATAAATTTATTTATTTTTCTTTCACGAGGATGGTATTTATTTAATTATTAATTATTAATACAGTATTTTAGGTTGATTGATCAATTTGGGACACTTTCATAAATTATTTACATAAATGAGACTGTTTTGAAATTATATACACTTTTGGGGTATTTTACTATGGTGTCGCTATGGGCCATAGCGACACCATTGACACATGAATTTTTTTAACTCTAAAGAAGCCATGAAAGTCATATTAACAATGTCGCTACAGTCTATGAAGACACAAAACGACTTGAATGAAGTCACTATATCCCACAACGTCACATTTTGAATATAAAATAAAAATACTAAAAAAATAAATAAATAATTAAAAAAAGGATGTCGTTATAGCCTATAGTGACATTGTGTCGCTATAGCCTATAGCGAAATTGTGTCGATATAGGCTATAATGCCACTTATTTTAATATTTAAATACATAAAAAAAATAAACTGAAGGAAATAATTTAAATATATAAAATAAAATATATAACTAAAGAAATTACAGAAAAGATAAATATATAAAATAGAAATATAAATTTAAAGTTATATTAAATTAATAACATAGGAAACACACTCTAAATCTCTAATTGACTAGAAGATATATAAGTATTAATTAAAAAAGAGTAATAAAATGATAGTTTTACAAAAATAAAATATATAAATAAAAAAATTACAGAAAATATAAATATAAATATATATTTATATTAAATTAATAATATAAATTAAAATTTGAAAAAAAAATTAAGTTAATAATTAAAAAAAACAAAAAAATAAGGTCCCTATAGCCTATAGCGACATTGTGTTACTATAGACCATAGCGCCACTTGTTTAAATATTTAAATATATAAAAAGAAAAAATATATAAAATAAAATATATAAATAAAAAAATTACAGAAAAGATAAATATATAAATATAAATTTATATTAAATTCATAATATAAATTAAAATTTGAAAAAAAGAAATTAAGTTAATAATTTAAATTTATAATTCTGTTTTATATATTTAAATTTATAATTCTGTTTTATATATTTATATTTAAAAATAAATTTTTAAAATAAAATGTAAATATTTATGAAATAAAATATAAACAACAAAGGTGTAGCTGACCATAGCGACACCTATTTTTCCTTTTATTTTTTCTTTAAATTTAATTATATTAAATAAAATACTAAAAATATTAATTTATTTATATTAAAAAAAATACTGAAAATATTAATTTATTTATATTAAACAAAGGTGTCGCTTCCATAGTGACACCTATTTTTCCTTATTTTTATTTTTATTTTATTTTAATTACTTATTTTTTGCCCAGTTTTTTTTAAATTAACATATAAAACAATTATTAATAGACTTAAACAAAAAATTTAATTTAAACTACACAATTGATTATTTTTAATTAAATTTATATACAAATTACTGAAAATATAAATTTAATTATAATATTAAACAAAATAATGAAAATATAAATTTAATTAAAATTTTTAATTTGTATAGTTTTAATTAAAAATATAAAAATGAAAATTTTAAAATAAAATGTAAATATTTACAAAAAAAATAAACAAAAAGATTGTCACTTTGGCCTATAGCGACATTGAATGTCGTTGTGACCCATAGCGCCTTTACATAATTTATTTTTTTAATAATAAAAAATATATATTAATTATATTTTTTATGTGGTGATATTGCTTATAGCGACTTTAGAAAAATCACTCTAGCCTATAGCGACTCTGTTTGACTAAATTTTAGTCAATCGTAATTACCAAAAAAAAAATTCACGTGTCAATGGTGTCGCTATGACCCATAGCGACACTATAGTAAAATGTTCCAAAAGTATATATAATTTCAAAACAGCCCAATTTACGTAAATAATTTGTGAAAGTGCCCAAATGGGTCAATCAGCCCATTATTTCAAGTGTTTTAATTAAGGCAGATGATAAACACACCTCCACTCTTGTATAGATACACCCCTTTTTTAAAAAAATATATATAAAATGTCTAAATTACCCTTAAAGAAACTCCTAAATTTACACTCCCTTTCCCGCACCCTCCTTCCCCGCACCCCCACACCCCACACCCCACACCCCCCTTCTTCCTTCTTGAACTACTTTGTGTTTTAGCTGATGCATTATATTTAAATGGACAAAAGACGATTGAGGAAGCACGCACCGAAGTGGGCTTAAATTCTTTTCTCTCGAACATGCAGGTTCCTAGCAGCAGTAATGGAGGCCGTATTGGAAGTGATCTTTCATTATCAATGTCGGATGAACAACAATGGCAAGCCGGGCCTCCACATTTGTTAGCAACTGCTGCAGCATCATCAGGATTCCCACCGCAGATTAGACCCTCCCAAGGTTGGCTGCAGAAAAATGGGTTCCACTCTCTCATGAGACCCTCATGATCCTTAATTGCCATTTACATTAAAAAATAATCTCCCCCTAGTTTCTCTTGTGAGCATCAATGTGTGCAGGCTCCCCCTCCTTTAGGAAGCCCATTCATAATGTACAGGTGACAATGACTCTGGACACGACATACATCCGAGGATCGATGGCGGCGATCCTTTCGGTCCTCCAACACTCGTCATGCCCGCAAAACATATTCTTCCACTTCGTGTGAGCGGAAAGAAGCATTAGGAAGAAGGAAGAAGGAAGAAGGAAGAAGGGGGTGTGGGGTGCGGGGGTGCGGGGGTGCGGGAGAGGAGGTGTAAATTTAGGAGTTTTATTTTTTTTTAAGGGTAATTTAGATATTTTATATATATTTTTTTAAAAAGGGGGTGTATCTATACGAGAGTGGAGGTGTGTTTATCATCTGCCTTTAAGTAAATGTAGTTAGGGATACACCTCTTGGGACTGTGGTCCATAGATATATGCCTAGAATGGTTAGTTGCATAGTGGTAATTGAACATTGGGCGGCCCTGTTTATTTCGGGCCCTTCAATTGGGCCTAACCAGCCCATTGGCTCCTCCAGAGCCCAGACACACCGAGCTTCCCTTTGCTTACACACTGGTAACAGTATTAGAGTTGAGTTGATACTTGATAGAATAGAACGGAATAGAACGAACGAGACATGGTTCATAGCTAGCGAGTGACCTTACTCGCTTCTCCATTCTTCTCTACACTCATCTCTCCGCGAAAATCTGCACACGAAGCCTTTTCATAATTTATATCTGCGATTGCTTCTTTCATTTATCCACCGTTCTATGCTCCTTCATCGATCATAAGCCATGGTCTTCACTTCCACTCTCTCCCTCTACTCTCACCCGCAGGTAACTAACTCCCTCGGTAACACCTAACTAACCCTTCCTCTTTTCCGTTCTCCGTCTTTGAAACCCTAACGCTTTTGCAGGTTCGCCTCCGCAACCAGCGCCTGCAAGCGCCGCTCTCAACCGCCGCCGCCGTTGCTCAATTTGCGCGGCTTCCGGCTCTGAACTACCGGAGAACGTGTTCTCCGAGACTGCGATTCGGAAGCTTCGTGGTTAGGGCTTCCTCCAGCGTGGAAGGAACTCGCGCGCGCGGCACCGGTTCTCGCAGAGTCTATCGCCAGTCTCAGGCCAGCGCGCCGCTGTCAAGTGCTCCGGTGAAACAGATTGTCAACATTGTTGCGCCCTTTGCCGCCTTCTTCGCCCTCACTTTTGGTATTCAATGCTTATTTTTCCGTGTTTTTAATTTGACGGTTCTTTAGTTGTTCGTATCGTAGCCTGCATTTTAATCTATGATGCGTGTATAATGGAAGTACACTGATTAACGCTGATTTTATTGTTAGAAGAACACCGCGTGGTACACTTTCTTTTAGCGGTGGCAAATAGTTATGAACGAATCTTTCAAGGACGTTTTTCCCTTTCTACGCGACTTTCAGTATCAATGACAGAATTTTGAACATTTTCTTATAGATTTTAGTACTTTAAAAATATTAAATGAAGTTTTAAAACTTGACTAGAACTTTGTCTAAAATATTTATTTCATCTTCTAACGGCTTAAATTTGATAGTCGATGTTTAAAATCAGCTGTCGATAATGTCACTAATGATAACAAGCAAAATCAATAAAAAAAATATCCCTGGAAAACTCATTAAAACGCACCTAAGTGAATTATTCGTCTCTTAAGGGAAGGCAGTGTAATTTTTAAAACTAGAGAAGTCCTGTGTGCTTTGCACTCTCAGTAAAAACTAGCAGAGAAAGAAAGTAAGAGAGGCGTGAAGGAAAAAAAAAAATGTGGCCCCGCGGTAGTGGCTGGATAGATTTTATATTACTATTGATTATAGGGAAGGGTAGTATAGTTTAAGCATATTTCATGATAGGGAAATGTAATTTGATATGTCATTGGTTCTTTTTAAACTCGAAAGTTTATGCAAACTTGTGAAGGCTCTAGAAACTTCTTTACCTGATAGAAATACTAAAAATGCTTAAGTATGATTTTAGTCTTTCAAATTTAGAATAAATTTGTTTTTGGTCTCTCAAATTTAAAATCACTATTTTTAGTTTTGTAATTTTCTAGAATTTTATTTTAGCTCCTCAGATCACCAATAATATATTTGAAAGTGTCAGATTGAGACAATTATACACCATCAATTGAGTTTATTGTGATGTTTCACTAACAGGATATCAATAGGTAGATTTTATACAACATTATTTGACAAATTCCTTAACAAAATTTGAGTGTAAGGACTAATATAATTTTTTGTTTTTAAATTACAAGGAATAAAAAGATGAATTTTAAATTTGAAAGACTAAAAATAAATTTACCTTAAATTTAAAGGACTAAAAACATATTTAAGTCTATTAAATAACATAATGATAGTATCCCATAATCCCAATAAATGTTAAATAACTGTTATAGTGCTGCCATACTGCTATATCATGGCATTTTTCAACCCCACCGCCATAGACAATTTTTTATGGGAGGCCTGCTATGGTGGCGCCATAGGCTGCAATGACATGTTTATATGGAAAAATTTTGAGCCTTCCACCATATTCCACCTTGTGCCATTGATAACTTTGATCCCAACTAGAATATTATACCATAAAATACTAAATATCCAGCATTCCTACTTCATAATGATCAATTATCACAATTTACAAGTGATATACATTCACAATGATCAACTATCACAATTCACAATGATTTCAAATTCTGAAGTTCTCTACTAATATTGCAAGTTCAGATGAAAAATAAAAGAGTGCTGGAGCCTGGAGGCTCATTTTAAGAGTTGTGGTCGCCAGAGGTGGGTTAGAGGAAGCAAATGTAACAGAGTAAAGGATGGGGCTTGTTGTGAATGGGGAAAATGGGAAATGTGTCATGAAGATGATTGGGATAACACAGAATGGAAGAAAAAAATTAAGGGACTCAAAGAAAACAGCACTGTTTTGGGCATTTTATGGACATGTATCTGGCTTTCACATAGACTGGCTAACTTGGCAGCATACTCATGATTTTGGCAGAGTCTATGTGCCCAAGTCTAGCTGAGTTTGATCCAGTTTGAGTTTCCAAGCGAGTTGCCTCATTTTTCCACCAAGGAATCATTGAACTTGTTTGAGTTTTGAGTCAACTCATGAGCTCAAATAGAATTATAGAAGGCTAGTATTATCAAGTTCTTATAGCATATTAATATTTCACTTATATTGGCACAAAATTCAAAGAAGTAAAAATCATATTATGCAAGGTAGTAGTAAGTGTTGGTGTTAGAGAAGTATCTGATATGATCTACAGGCGTGGCTTGTATCTCTGGAGAGGCCTTGCTCCCTTTAAATTTTGAAACTCTATGTCTTAAATACACATTATTTTGCTGTAGTATTTTTTCCTTAACCTACACCTCCCCCTCATGACTTAAATGCATAAAATTCTCATGTCTAGCTCTGCTACTGGGTATCAGATACAACTTAGAAGTATCTATTTGACTCTAGTTTGGTAGACATTTTGAAATATCCATGCTTTTTAATTAAGCAGTCTTTCACTGCTTAGTATGGTTCTGTTCTTTTTCTTTGATTTTGTTATGATTGCAAGTTATATTTCATAATAGTGGTTGTACTAATTTGTTTTCAGCTTACAGTTATCTGGAAGTTAGTGGAGAAACTTCTTGTTCCAACTCAGAAGCAATTGAAATCTTCGACTGTGGAAAGTCAATCCCCTTCACAAGGACTGAAATGGTCTTTTGCTGCTGGTACAAACTTGTTATCCCAGCTTGGGGCAAAGATTGAGAGACAATCTAAACAGAAGCTCAATGAGTTTGCTCGGGAACTGAGGTCATTTCCTAGTATTGATATGTCAGGTATGCTGGATGGATTGATAATTTGATGCATGAAAAAAATATTTACAGTTATCTAATATAATATATTTGATGGTGAAGATTCTTTGATAATAACTTTGTTATTTTACCATTTGTGGACTGAATCTGATCCATTACAGGCTAATCTAATTGATATTGGACTTCCCTTGATATATGGTATCCTTCCATTTTAATCTTATATGCATGCTAATATATTCCACAATCTTAATAAGGATGATAATGTAAATTACTTAATGAATTTCTTTTATTACTAATCTATTCCAAACATGGATTTGGTTTGTAAATCAATTCAAACCTTTGTATTGGTATCAAAAGTCAAAACATATGATTTGATTTCTAAATCCAATTAGTTCAGTTCAAAACAAAGCAAACAAATTCCATATTTTAATCACTCCTAACACAACAGATATTTCTTGCTCTATTGCAGTTGACTGGACTGTATTGACATACCATTTTAAAGTGTAGGTACTATTGAGATGAATGGATAAATAAAAATAAAAATAACTAATTTATCATACATTAATTTGGCAGGGCGCAACTTTGGAGATGAAGGATTATTCTTCCTAGCTGAGAGCTTGGCATTCAACCAGGTAACAATTATCCTTCATTTATCATTGCTTTCATATTTTTTGTATATTTATTGACTTTAGATGATCTGCCAGTTTTTATACTGTTATTGAAAGATATTTAGTGATGTTACCTTCTGTACTGGCATATGCTGGAATTATTTAGAGTATTCATTGCTTCAGTTACTTAAAGGAAGAAATCTACTGAACAGCTGAATCAATTTTAACATCTTTGGATGCCACACACAAGTGTTAATGTAATGGTTTCCCCCCTAATTGAAACATAATAATGGTGGCCACAAGTATATACTTGTTAGTTATAATTGTAAATGTTTCATTATCAGCCATTAGCCTTGAAGTGCCAATATGGATGTGTCATGTAACAACTTGTTTTTAAAAATAGCACATTTACGCAATTGATCCTTTTAACACATGAATTATAAAGTATGGATCAGTTTGTTTAAATTTTTAAGGAAAAGTTTGTTTTAGAAAACCATTTCCTTTAGAAAACCAGATAGAGTTTGCTTCCTAAAATAACATAAAGCTGTTTTTTTAGGCTTAAATGCATTTTTGATCATTTGAGTATTGTGCGATTCTAATCTCTCAAATTTTAATTGAGTAGTTTTAGTCCTTTAAATATTGCAGATGTGCAATTTTGGTTCTTCAATTTTTAATTCAGCAATTTTAGTTCCCAAGTACAACAATTGTGCAATTGTAGTCTCTCCCATTTAAATTCTAATAATTTTTGTTGATGTGCTGTTAATGCGTAACATCATGTATTAGTGTTTCTAATTAACTTTATTCTAATATATATTTATCTTACCAAATATATTTATATTTTTATAAAAATATATTAATATATACTAATTTATATTTATGAAATTATTAGTTTATCTATTTTTATTATTAATCAGAATTACAAATTTGGACACCAAGGTTCAAAATTAGAACCTTGTGCATACTATCCCACCCTCTCACCAATAGACTGATTTTAGTGGTTTTATTTATCTATAAAATACTAATAATATTATTGATATTTATTTATCAATAATATTAATAATATATAAATTTTATTTATTTAGTAATAATAAATATATATATCATTTGATACATGAATGAAAATTATAATATATGTAACTTAAATAAGTCAACAATTGTATAATTTAAAAATATTATATATATATATATTATAATTTTAAAACTGTTATATTTTAAATCAGAGGGACTAAAATCATATAATTGTGATACATAAGAGACTAAAATTGCTCAACTAAGATTTAGTAGCCAAAATCTCACAATTGCAAAACTTGAGGGATCAAAAATGCAATTAAGTCTTTTTTTTTTGTTCTTTCAAATAAGTAGTTTAGATAAACACATCAAAAAAGCAGGAAAATTTTTATTTTATTAAAAAAAATGCTTTTCTAAGAAGTTTAAACAAACGAGCCCAATTGTAAAAATGCTTCCTAAATTGCTTAACAATTTTTTTTATTACTGATCTAACCTTGTAATCTTTAAAGGCCAAGGGTTTTATGATTGAATGCATTGAGTTAGATGATTAGTTAGTATTAGTATCTGCTGATGCCCCCCTGAATGAGATCGGACACAGGTTCCATTTTGTTAATGAAAGATGCATTTCGGTTCTCTCTGTGCTAAATATATTTTGTTATGAAGACTGCAGAGGAAGTGAGTTTTGCAGCAAATGGAATAACTGCAGCTGGATTGAGAGCTTTTGATGGGGTTCTTCAATCAAACATCACATTGAAGACTCTTGATCTGTCAGGAAACCTTGTTGGAGACGAGGGTGCTAAGGTCAGTCTCTAAGTGTTCGGATTTATTACATCTCTGAATTCAAGATTTGGGTTAATTATTGTCACTGTTCCTTTATTTTATGTAATTATTTGAGAGGTCCACATGGTACATTTTAGATGAGTTTTATAAAAGTCGTGTAACCTTATGTAATATTCTTACATACTTCTGTGACATGGAACACTTATGAAAGATCCTGCTCTTTGTTTGAATAAAGCTGAATCTTAGTTTATTTTTTCAACTCTTATATCTCAAAAGTCATATTTTTTTATTTATAAATTTATTGCTTATGTTTTCAAGGCTTTTTGCAATTAAATATAATATTGAATTATATCCAAGAAAGAACAAGTCAAATATTTTGTTGGAGCTTGATTCACTGGTTTAGGGGGTACTATAACTCCTTTGAAATAAATTCAATCTGTTGCATGTCTTTCTTTTGGGTAGTTAGGTTAATTATCTATTCAAGTGAAGATGAAGAGTAAAATGGATTATTATAAAATTGACATGCATACATAGGCTTATTTGTTCACTGTTTGAGCTTGTGTAATAATTTGCAATCCTGTACCAAGCATATACAGGATTACAGGAATAACTATGACAACATGTTCCTCTATTATACTGTGTTTGCTAGAATATATTCATTTCTCTTTATGCCATATAGAACCTTGGACTAACGATCAAGAAACTTGTGGCTTATTTAACTAACCATGATGATTATCAGAACTGTGTTTAAGATGTTTTTATAACCCACCTCCATCCTCTCTCAAACAGATAAAAGAAAATAATTTGTTGACAGTTACTGCTGATCATTGTCACACACTTATGTTTAACTATTGTATTTGACTATTGATCATCAATGTCCTTGTTCACTCTTCACAGTGCTTATGTGACATATTGGTGAATAACTCTAGCATTGAGAAGCTCCAGCTAAACAGTACTGACTTGGGTGATGAGGTTAGCTTGGTGATTTGTATTTTTCACAGAATGCCTCCCGGGTGGCACTAAGAAATGCTTACTGTGTTATGTAGGGTGCAAAAGCTATTGCTGAAATGTTGAAGAAAAACTCAAGTTTGCGGGTTCTTGAACTTAACAATAACATGATTGAATATTCTGTATGCAATTTACCTAAGCTTATTCTAAGACCGTAGATGTCTGGCTATTCAAATATTATTTTAATTTGTTTCTTGGAAATGGAGGCAGGGATTTTCAAGTCTGGCAGGAGCACTTCTTGAGAATAACAGTATACGCAATATACATCTCAAGTGAGTAAAAATTGTCACATTAAGTATTCTCTGCAAATTTTTCCTCTCCCAATCCTCCCTGCTGGATATTGAGGGAATTGCTGTTTGATTTATGATCTTCTTGCTTTTGATGTTGCTATTTTCCCTTGGAATTGTTTCATGAGCAAATCTTTCACTGCTCATTACTTATTCTTCTCCTCTTTTATGAATGTGTCTGACATTTTCACTATTCAAGTGGCAATTATGGTGGTGCTTTGGGGGCTAATGCTTTTGCTAAAGCACTTGAGAGCAACAAGTCATTAAGGGTACTATTCTTGTTTTTTTTTTTTGATGAAATGCCCAACATTACATTATACCTTTAAGTTTTTGGCATAGCTTTCAGAATTCCCACCTTGGCCGATAGATCTAGTTATCTTTATCCAATTGCAAAACATGTGTCCTATAGCACAAAATGTTATTGTGAATTTCCCTAAAGAACACCTCAAATTCCAAAGCATATCTAAGAAATAGAGTGCTAATCCTTCAACATGTATTCTCTTATCACAATGACAAAATGCTGTTGCATCCACTAGAGGCATATGTGGCTGTATGCTGCCTTAAACAAGCATGATTTACCCTGAACTTGAATATATGAACAGGAACTTCATTTGCATGGAAATTCTATTGGAGATGAAGGAATCCGTTCTTTGATGACAGGATTATCTTCACATAAAGGTTAACTTGTACTAATTTATGATATTGACTGTATCATTCATGCTTCTACGATTCCAGTTTAATATTTTACAATTAACTGACAACTAATGTTTATTCTCAAGGGAAACTTACACTTCTAGACATCAGCAACAACTCATTAACAGCTAAAGGTGCATTCCATGTTGCCGAGTATATAAGGAAGAGCAAAAGCCTGTTATGGTTGAATCTTTACATGAATGACATTGGTGATGAGGTATTCTATCTCATGGTTGCCCGCAATTTCACATAATGAGATTATCATAAACCTTGTCAAAATTTTCACATAGTGAGGTCATGAAATGAATAGGATCCTTAAGATTTTTAAGTATTATATTAATACATGATATTTGAGATTCATAAAATTGTTTTTTCCATAACTGTTCAGTATAAATTGCATTCTATATTGTCAAAATTTCATGTATGTGGCGTATAAACTAGTTTTCTGCATCTTCAACAAGTTGAATAGTAAATTGATGGGTATACTCAGAAATAACCCTGTATATGGTATTTGGGTGTCTCATTTAAGTTTACAAATAGGTTTGGGAAGGATTGATGGCCAGTAGTTGTGGATCCGTATAGCCATACCTGAGATTCTGAGAAAACTTAGGAGCTGTTTGGTTTAAGAAAGCATTTTCTATTTTTGTTCTATTTCTGTTTTCTAAAAATAGTTTTCATTTTCAAATTTATAATATTTAAGAAACATGTTTGTTTTGAGAACTTATTTTCTGTTTTCAAAAAATCAAAAACTAAAAAATATCCTAATTGTGGTAGCAGCGATGGTGATGGTGGCGCCCCAACCAACACTACTATTAGTCCATCACTACTATGTGCTTGTTTGGTTCGACATTCATGATCCAATTTTAAGTAAGAATCACGTCAAATTAATGTAATTGATCTGCATCAAACCAAAATTGATGTGAATTTAAATATGCTATATCCCTATCATTATTGTCACTACCGCTATTACCATCGACATGTGGTGGCAGTAATGACAATGATGATGGTGATGTTGGAGGTCATGGAGGAGACGATGGTAATGTAATGCTGTCAAAAAATGGTTATAATGTTATAAAGGTATGGCAGATCAGATTTTGGCTTCATCGCCATTCGTCATCCATTATACGGTGATTTATGGTGTTGTCCGCCATTTCTGCCATGGTGCCCACCATGGCTATTACCTCATGAAGCTTCATGGCAGTCATGGCTGTTGTAAGTAACAGTTTTTTTTTTTGTTGCAAAAACCTGTTTTTGGGCTTCAACCCAGGCCCAAATTTGAGTGAGGCCTTAGGTTTTTGGTCAACTCACTTTGACCTCTCATGCAAACTGCGGTCTCAAACGGAACTCATGCCACGCAAAACATTTTTTCATTTTAATCCTACTTCTTCCAATTGGGTCCATTTTAAGTTCCTGTTTTATTCTAAATTCTAAGACTAACATTGAGTTCCTATTTTATTATTGTTCTTATTCTTATTTTTAGAACAATGTCTACTCTTTTTGTTGTGTTTAAATCAATTATGTTTGAGACTTAACGAATAATGGTATTGTGTTATGATATTTAACTATTTAAGTTGATATTTTTTTTGTTTTTAATTTATTTCTACTGCTTGTTATTTTGTGTGATATATATATATATATATTTTTTTTTTGTCCGCCATAGGTTGTCATGGCATCCACCATATATTTATTAAGGATTTTCGGCTCAACTTTATAGTCTGTTACCTGTTATAATTACGGTTTATACCTCTGTTTGCATTTTGTTGGAAAATATTGAAAACGACATTTTTCTGTTTTTAATTTTGGCCTTCATTTTGGAGAGTTTTCATAGAAAATAATTTTTATAACTTAAACAAGCATGTTTTCACCACTATTTTCCATTTTCACTGAAAACGAAAATAGAGAATAGACATACCAAACAGCCCCTTATGTTTTCCTTTTCCCGTTATATTTGCAGTAACAACTACAAGTCTACTACAACAAAATTAATAGTTCTGCAAAGATAGATTCTTAAGAGGACAATATGAGTTCTGATTATAGTCATTATACTGATTGTGTATAATTTATCAGGGAGCCGAAAAAATTGCAGTTGCTTTAAAGGAAAACCGATCAATAACAACGTTGGATCTGGTAAGAAGATCTCCTTTTTTGTTACCTTTTATTTTGTACTTTATACATGACTGCTTGTGCTCTGGCCATTAATAAAAGAAAATACAAAAACCTGGAGGCAGAGGCAGTAGTACTATTGCTTGGGAAATAACTTGCTGAGTTAATATTGCAGGGGGGAAATAATATTCATGCAGATGGTGTTAGTTCCATTGCCCAAGTTTTAAAAGATAATTTAGTTATTACCACTGTAAGCGTCAATAGTTATTTAGCTTCTAATCTTTATTCTGTTGTTTGTTTTTCTATACACTGATACATATTTTTATCCCATTCTTAGTTAGAACTTAGTTATAATCCCATTGGACCAGATGGAGCCAAGGCCTTGGCTGAAGTTCTCAAGTTTCATGGGAACATAAAAACCCTTAAGCTTGGTTGGTGCCAGGTAACCTTTTAACCATGAGTTACCTGTAAATTGTTTGTAATAACTTTTATTTGTAACATAGAGTAACTTAATAGATCGGAGCAAAAGGGGCAGAGTTCATTGCAGATGCTTTAAAATACAATACCACCATATCAATTTTGGACTTGCGAGCAAACGGACTAAGAGATGAAGTTTGTTTTCATTACCTGTTATTTTCCCTTTAATCGATTTTTCTAAATCTTCATCGGTCAATATGAGGATGTTATTGTTTTATGAACCAACTGTTGCAGGGTGCACAATGCCTGGCTCGCAGCTTGAAAGTGGTTAACGAAGCATTAACCTCTCTAGATTTAGGATTTAATGAAATACGGGTATGAGTGTGTTCTTTTGTATATTTTGTTGACAAGGAAATTATATTTCCTCTAATGCCATATTTGTCTGATTCACAGGATGATGGAGCTTTTGCTATTGCTCAAGCACTCAAGTCTAATGATGATGTAGCTGTCTCATCCTTAAACATTGCCAGTAATTTCCTTACAAAATTTGGGCAGGTGATGTATTTTTGTGCTATTGCTATTACTTAGTTTTACCTTTTATTTTATCTAATGGATCTGAAAATACTTCACATGCAGAGTGCTTTGGCTGACGCACGAGACCATGTTTTGGAGATGACCGAAAAGGAAATTAACATCTTCCTCTAGAAGACATTATATTCTGCAATAAATTCTTGTTATAAACTATAACAGTTTTTTATTTTTTTTTTTATTTTTTTTTTTTTATTTTAATTTTGCATATATGCTGCCGGCAAGTACTGGTAAGAGCTCGTTCACATCAATTTTTTGAGTTCTAACCATTAATTGAGGGAAAGTATAGAAATTTGTCTGTACTGTAGCCTATTGTTGATCTAGAAACCGTTAAAAGCGGTTGCAGATCCTATTGATTTCTTGAATAATGTAGTTTACCCACAAGAATCAATCTGTTAAGATTATTGTTATCATTCTTGGTATAGTTTTCTAATTTACACGCATGATAGCTTGTAAGCAAAGAGGTATCACGTATAGTTTGCCTTTGCTAGTGGTAGATTTTTCTTTCTTTGGATCTTTGTTGCCAAGCTATGTAGAATTATCAAATGGAAGTTTTGAGAAGATTTTGTATTAATTTATTATGTGGCTAATTTTATTGTACACGGCCGTGAGGGCTAAGCTCTCCGTCTTTAAATCAGCGTACTCAATCCTTCAATTTTCGAGATTTGGATAACAACTAAATTACATGTTGACCCAAATTTGGAGGCTTCCAATTCCTCCCAAGGCAGCTATTACCATTTAGAGACTCCAATTGAATGGCTTGGCTACTTGCAATAATTTGAGAAGAAGATAGATTGTTTTGAATGAAATGGAATCGAGGTGCAATTTTTGCAATCAAGAGCCTGAATCAGTGTCACATACATTTTTCTCCTGTTGGGTCATAGATAACGTATGGAAGGAGTTATGAGTGGGTGGATATCGTAGTAGTACTACCAGACAACACCCTGTAACACTATTTTCAGAAACCTTTCCTAAGCCCATCAAAAGTTGTTTTCCAAAAGTGGAGAGTACTATGGTGTGCAATCATTTGGACTATTTGATGGAATAGAAACAATGTTATGTTTAGGGAACATACGATTTGATGCAAAATATTTGGTGAAAGATATTGCTTGTCACTTGGACATGGTTAAGATTAGATAAAAATTTCAATTACAGCTATGCTTAGTGGAGCTCAAACCTTGGTTTGTGTTTACTCTAGGTTGGCCACATGATACAATATTTTGACAAATAAAACTGGTGAGGAATTCGGGAATCAGAACATCAGAAGGTTGACACTACAGATTAATAAGGTGGAGTGATGTCATGCTTGTTTGTTTAAAGTGGACCACTATGTAGTAGAGGCGGGGAAGGCTAGTCGGATGATAAGATGGTGAAAGAATGTTGTAAGGTCAAAAACCTGGTTGTTGAGGAGTCAAACATTTTACACAACTCTTAATGAGCAGATGCATATAGGTTGGAGTTCGTGTCTTTCTCTGGTGTATGTTCAAAGCAAATGGAAAGGAACTACAACTAAGAAATGTTGATTATGTGGTCGAAGCAATGCTCATAGTACCCATGGGTTTGGCTATAGATCCGCAGGCCATTGATTGCATTAGAACAAGGCACTTCAACAAGGTGATCAAACATGCAGAAGGAAACTTGGATTATTAACATGCAGTAGTGTTACTTTGTTCTTCATTATGGAAAAGCCTGGGCATACAAAGCTATCTCAAAAGTCATACCCTAAGTGCTGGTGAAGCATCCAATTCGTGACCAGTTTACCTTTTGCGATACAGTTGGTACCCACATCTGAAAAGTTTACTAATTTGGCACTGTGGAAGGTTACATCATTTAGGCTTTGCGAGCTTACAGACATTACATGTTTCTTATTATTGGTTGAAATGTATCTTTTGAGGGTAAGATGGGCCTATGACTTACGTGGCTTGATTTCATATTGTAATATCTTTTTCATGATTACTAGTCAAATTGACTATATTATATCTAACTAAGACTGTTATTTTTATTTGTACATAAAGTTCATGGCACCCCTAGTGCCATATATTAATATACTTTTGCTTTTCAAAAAAAAAAAAAAAATCTTGTCGAGTACTTCCACTCTACTTATATATAAGCAAAAAAATAATCAGTTTTATACATATTAATTTTTTTTTATTAAATGTATTTAATTTTTATAATTTTATATAAGATATATATTATGTTTCTTAAAAATATTCTGAATCACATTTATAATAAATAATATTTTCATTAATTACTATAAGAGTAATTTTGGATTAAAGATATTAAATAAAGTTGACTTGGTAGAAATTTGTTTATATTTTCGACTAAAAAATTTAAATATAAGCAAAGTTTTACCAAGTCAACTTTATTTAAGATCTTTAATCCAAAATTACTATTAAGGGAAGTAGTCTTTTGAGACATATAATCTAACACTAGTAACATTTATTCATCTGGTAATGATGTATCATAATAGTCAATAGTGGTTGTAGCAGTTGCGATAACTGAGAGTAGAGTAGCTTTGTGTTGCTACAAAAGCCTTGAAGTGAAGTAGTTTAAGTGGGCGAGATCGTCGTGGATTGGAGCGGGTGAGATTGCATTTTGGTGCGGGGATTTAAAACAAATTGAACAAAAAATACTTTATAAAATAAGGATATTTTTATCCTTTCATTTGAATTTCTCTCTCTATTGATAGACACACTTTGTCCCAAGCATATAACTCCTTTCCTCCTCCCTATTGAGTGATGCACTTTGCACTAAGCTTGTAACTTTCTTCTCCCTCTCTTTTTCGAACGATCTGCGTCTTCTTCTACGACTCTTTAACATTTTTCCGACAACTATAATAGTTATCTCTTCTCTTATTTTTCAAATATTTGAATTTAATTTGTTTTATTATTTTATATTTTGTTTCCTTATTTTTAGAATATGTTATTATTAATATTTGATTTTTATATTATATATTTTTTTTATATTTAAAGTTTACAAAGAAAATTAGATTCTGTTCCTTTAATAAAAATATATTTTTATAATACAAATACAAAATATCTCATCATGATTTTCAATTTATTCCTATCGTTGTAGGAATTCATTCATGCTAAACACTTAAATATCGTTACTAGGCATTGACAAAAAAAAGTAGTGTATTGATGTATCATTTTATGCAATAACTTTTTTCAAACACACCCTACAATGTGGTAGAGGTGAGCGTAAACTGCTATTTAAAGTTTACAACAAAACTTTGTATTGCTTGCTCCTTTGCTTGATTGACCTCTTACCGTATTTTTATATTTATGTATTTAAAAAGTGAGTTTGTATTATTTGCTGATTCATTTTCGGCATCAAAAAGTTGGGGGTTTCTGTTTGCATAATTTAAACTATCAACTTAGTATGATGTGCTTCTTGATGAAAAGAAAGGCAAAGACATTGCTCTGTGAGTTTACAACATGAGAATTTAGTCATGCTTCCCTTAAGATTAGTTACTTGAACTTGCAAACGAAATTGAGACAATGTTTTGGCTTCTGTGCATCATTTCCAAAGATCAAAAAATAAATAAACAAATTCTAGCATGTCTTAGGTAACATGGTTGCCTATGCCGTGGGTTTCAAGGTTCATTCAAGAGTTGCCAAACCTGCTGGCAAGTTTATCAAGGGAGAACATGCTTTCCAGGCTTCAATTTACTAAATTGTTGACCTTCCCTTGCCTTTCACCTCTCAAAGATCAACAGAAATGCACCCTGAGTTTAATTCATAAACTTCTTAGTTTCAATCTGTGTAAAGTCAAAACGTATTTAGAGACTTCTTGGAGTAGGGAATGAAAAAAACTTAAATCACTTATCTGGAACAGTTTGAAAACTCAAAGAATCACTTATATCATTCTGCATGTTGTTTCCAACTTTTGGGATCATAGTGCTAAGTCATTACAGGAACTTATGGACGAACATTTTAAACAAATCCTTCCAGAAAAACTGCTTTCGTCCAATTTTTTGTACACAAAATATATTAAAATCAGACACGTGAATTGTATCCTACATAGTAAAAACAGTTGTTTATCTCGCTATTTGACCAAAAGTAAAAGCAATTAAGCAAGTTGTTAGTATATGATAGTTGTCAAAGGAATAGTTGGTGGGATAATAGAAACTTATTTGTATTCAGAGAGTAGTAGTAATTATGGTAATTATTGTTGTTACAATGAAGTCCCAATTTGCTTATTTATAGGCACGGTGTTCTATCTCTAGATGATAGTGGAATTATCTAGAATTTTCTAAACTCTTCAAGTCTCTACACTCTTTTAGTTTTTTCTAGAGACTTGTACATCTTATCTTATGTTTCTAGAATTTTCTTTTTTCATTATACACTTATGCTTCTAGAATTTTCTTTTTCTTTTCTAGAATTTGCATCATAATTTAACACTCCTCCTTGATGCAAATTTCGGTAACTCCAAGCATAGTCCGTAGTTGTTCAACCTTTGCTCTTGGCAGTGCCTTTGTAAATATGTCTGCAACTTGATCTTCTGTTGAGCAGTATTCAAATTGAATTTGCTTAGTTGTCTCTGCTTCTCTGATGAAGTGATATTTGATGGCTATGTGTTTCGTTCTTTGATGATGAACTGGATTTTTTTCCATTGCTATTACTGATCTGTTGTCACAGTATATGACAGTCGGTCCATGTTGTTCACTCATTTCTTCAAGTATTCTTCATAGCCATATTGCTTGACTTGTAGTTTCAGTAGCTGCTATATACTCTGCTTCTGCTGTTGATTGTGCTATTGTTGCTTGCTTCTTTGACACCCAAGAGAAAAATCCAGATCCTAGTGAGAAGGCATATCCTGATGTACTCTTCATGTCGTCTATTGATCCTGCCCAATCATTGTCGGTATAGCCAATCATCCTTGATTTGGTCATGGTTTTATACCATATACCAAACTCCTTTGTGCCTTGTTGATATCTCAATGTTCTTTTTCCTGTTCCATAGTGAATTTGACTTGGCTTTTGCATGAATCTTGATAAAAGACTTGTGGCATACATAATGTCTGATCTTGTGGCTGTGAGATATAGAAGACTTCTGACTAAACTCCTGTATCGGGATGCATTAGCTTCCGGTGTAAATGGGGAAATGAAGTCGTGTTTTCAATCTCGATTTCCATTTTTTTTTAAATTAAAATTATTAAATATTACTTTACTTTTTCATTAAAAAAATTAATTAAATAAATAAAAAATAAGCAAAGTCATGTCTTAAGAAGACGACTATTTACAAAAGTCGTATTATTAAACATGATTTTTTTTAATTTTAAAAAATATCTTAAAATTAGAAATAAAGAAGTCATGCTTTCAAACATAATTTTTACATTAAATTTCATATATAATGAAGATAATTTATCTATTCCCAATTTTTTTTAAAAAAAATTACCCGTTACGAAAATTTTGAAATGAAATTACACCATTATGATAAATAAAAAAAAAAAAAAAAAGCCTCATTTCAATCATATTCTTTATAATCTCATCCTCATCTCTTACATTTTCCATTAAAAAAATATTGGAATTTTCAAACTTGTAAAAAATACAAGTTGGAAGTCGGATATCTTGTGCCAAAAATCAAGGTAATAATATATAAAAAGGTAACAATATTTTACATATTTTTCTCTCTCATTACAACTCTTCCACCGAAGGAGAATATGTGTGATTTTCACCAACTAAATGTAGGCTTTCAAATACACATCGATATTTTCTTTGAGGGGAATACACATCGATATTTAAGAGTATTTTGAAGTATCAAATTAGTTGAATTCCATCTTGTAGGAACATTTAGACATAAGCCACTTAATGCATTAATGTCACCAGTATTTTCAATGCATTGCTTGAATTTCATCATTTTACTCCTTAATTTTATGCAAAACATGGGTGACTATCTTTAATCCTTCTTGAACAATCAAATTTAGAACGTATGTAGAACAATGTACATGAAAGAATTCACCATCAAATAACAACAATTTTTTTGTAATGCAAGTTGACTTTTTAAAGTTTTCTACATAACATTATTAGCAGAAAAATTATCCAAATTGATACAAAAAAAAAACTTCTTTTTATATTCCCCAATTATGAAAAAATTCCTTAACTTTCTTAGACAACTCAAAACAAATGTGGGGGGAGGGGGGAGACATATGACAAAAGTTAATAATTTTTCTATTTATTTTCCAATTTGAGTCAACAAAATGAACAACCAAACTTATATAACCCTTAATATTACAAGATGTTCACAAATAAGAAGTTAAAGGTATTATACTATAAATAGAAGTCATTTTTTCTTTCATCTTTGCCTTCTCTTTCATATATTTTTTTAAAGAGCTTGACCTTGGTAGTATTTCTAGAAAGAAAAAAAAATTGCATTAGAATTCAAAATAATGTATCCAAGTCCAAAGCTTCTTATTCTCAACAAGTTTGAAGGGTAAAGCATGTTTAATGATTAAAGATATACACAATTCATGTGATACCATTTGATTAATCTTTTTAGACTTCAATTTTTCTTGATTGTCTATCATCATTTGACCAATATCTTCGAATTTGGTTTCCTTACACTTTTCAAGAGGACAATTTAAAGGATGATGTCCCAATTTTTTTTACCACCAACTACATAATCTTTTTTACAAGCATTACAATTTGCTCGCTCATTTCCATCATCACGCACACCTATCTTAGTAAAAACCTTAGGCTTTAGAAAAGATCACAAAGATGATAGAGGAAAGGGTGAAGACAAGACCTTTGCCACCACCACCACCTGCACAACCAACTGGTGATGGTTCTGTGAATTTAACTTCAGAACAACCTGTTAAAACAAGAGATGGAGACTCTGTTATGGATACAGAGAAGAATGGTAAGGGAAAAAGACACATCAATTGCTGTATCTATTCTCTGTTGAGTGACTCACAACAGAGCTATATTTTATCATCAGGATACCTTTATCTCTTTTATTTCTAAATTTATTATTCAGAAACTTTTCTTTTCAAATTGTGTAGAATCAGCTGAAAATAAAAATGATAAAGAGACAAACAATGATAACAAACCAACCAGTGAACACAATAGGCCTGAAAGCCCTGATAGGAGGCATGATAGGAAAAGCAGAGAGAGGGACCGAGATAGGGAACATAAACGAGAAAAGGAAAGGGAACTTGAAAGATATGAAAGAGAAGCAGAGCGGGAACGCATTCGGAAAGAGAGGGAACAAAGACGAAGGATTGAGGAGGCTGAGCGTCAGTATGAAGCATATTTGAAGGATTGGGAGTATAGAGAAAGAGAGAAAGAGAAAGAACGCCTGTATGAAAAAGAGAAGGAGAAGGAAAGGGAGCGTAAAAGGAGAAAGGAAATACTTTATGATGAAGAGGATGAGGATGAGGATTCTAGGAAGAGGTGGCGCAGAAGTGTGCTAGAGGATAAGAGAAAGAAGAGGCTGCGTGAGAAGGAAGATGACCTAGCTGACAGACAAAAAGAAGAGGAAGAAATTGCTGAAGCCAAGAAAAAGGCTGAGGAGGAACAGAAGCAGCAAAGAGATGCATTAAAGCTATTAGCTGAGCATGTTGTAAATGGTGTTAATGAAAATATGGCTACTGAAAAGATTACTGATGAGGTCAGAAGCATTGTTGCTGAACAAGATACTATGGCTGATTATAATAGTCGTGAAGATCATATTGGTAAATTTTATATTTTATAATTATTCATAATTTGTGCTTTTCTCTCTCTCCATATTATTAAAGTTAGTAATACTTTACAATGACAGGTGATGGTCATTCACTAAATGTCATCAATGATGACTCAACCATAGCATCTGTTGCTCCAACTGATACACAGTCAATTGGGAATGCTCCTACAAAGAAATTGGGGTTTGGTCTAGTTGGTTCAGGAAAAAGAACAACTGTTCCTTCTGTTTTCCATGAAGAGGAGGGTGATGAAGCACACAAGGACAAAAAAATGAGGCCCTTGGTTCCAATTGATTACTCAACTGAAGAATTGTAGGGTGATCCAAGTTCACTTTATGGTCGCGAAATCAGGGCTTTCAGGCCTATTGTGTTCACTGGTTGGTTTGTTATCATTGTTTGTCTCTTTATCATTTTTATTTTCAGCTGATTCTACACAATTTGAAAAGAAAAGTTTCTGAATAATAAATTTAGAAATAAAAGAGATAAAGGTATCCTGATGATAAAATATAGCTCTGTTGTGAGTCACTCAACAGAGAATAGATACAGCAATTGATGTGTCTTTTTCCCTTACCATTCTTCTCTGTATCCATAACAGAGTCTCCATCTCTTGTTTTAACAGGTTGTTCTGAAGTTAAATTCACAGAACCATCACCAGTTGGTTGTGCAGGTGGTGGTGGTGGCAAAGGTCTTGTCTTCACCCTTTCCTCTATCATCTTTGTGATCTTTTCTAAAGCCTCACGATCAGCTTCTCTATCTTCATCAGTGACAATCCCAAAGTTTGCCACATCACGGGATTCCTTGTTTGTTGATTCATCAGCTTTATTTGAGGGTTCTGTGTCAGCCTTTGCATCCTCATTCGCATTAGAAGGTTGTGCACCTTCATCATCTTTTCCAACTACTTCTGCCTGAGTTTCTTTGTTCTTCAAGTTCTCAGTTTTCTTCTGAACAACATACCGCTCCAGATGTTCTTTCAAAGCTTGATTGACATTGACCTGTTAAAAAATATGTAGTATAAATGGCTATGATCCTTAGATATACAACAAGTGAAAAAATGTATCATGTCATCATGAGTTTTAGTATAACAATTATGTGTCTTGTTCAAAGAATTTTTATAAACTTCTTACTAGAAAAATGCAAATGCATTAGTACATTCAATTATAGAGTTCAACATTCATGGCATGAACCAAACAGTTACATCGACATAACCAATATACTAACTCCACATAGAATTAAAGGAGAAAAGTGTGAGCTTTAAAAATTAACTTAATGCAACCAAATTATTTTTGAAAACTCCAATTAATAATTATGGCTAAGAAACCTTTCCTTCCTCACTCTAAGCTAGATCCCAAACATTTGGGAGAAAGTAAATATTTTATAGTATTAGATTTATCCAACTGTTTAAGATCCCCGTAAACATTAAAGTGAAATATAATGTTGATACCTTCAATCTCATAGTAATATAGAAAAGGAAAAGACATAAATGCAACATTACATAAAGTACAAAGAAAAAGCAATCAAAGATGAGGACATACCTTTAGTTCTTGCCCATCGATATTCAATTTATTAAGAAGACGCAAGGCACGGAGAACCGCTTCAGCAGACTCAAATTCATAAAACCCAAAACTTGTAGGAGTCCCAGTTGATAAATCCTGAGGACGTTTCCAGGTCTTGATAGTTCCACATAACTTTAAAAATAATAATAAAATCAGTATATTTATAATTATACCCAAAGATTCTAAGACACTCATTGTCTAGTACCTAAAAAGGCTGGAAAGAGATTACTGGAGAAAATGTCCTTCTAAAAGTTTCTTTGAAAAATAAAACGCAAAAACCACAAAAAAAATTTTTAGACTTCAATTTTTCTTGATTGTCTATCATCATTTGACCAATATCTTCGAATTTGGTTTCCTTACACTTTTCAAGAGGACAATTTAAAGGATGATGTCCCAATTTTTTTTACCACCAACTACATAATCTTTTTTACAAGCATTACAATTTGCTCGCTCATTTCCATCATCACGCACACCTATCTTAGTAAAAACCTTCCAATAATCAGATGTTGTACACTTAGACTTTTTCTTACTAAGTTCAAGAGATTGAGATTCTTCTTCAATATCCTCAATTTCATCATTCAAAAATTGGTTTACTAATTGAATAGTACATGCATTACTTAGTTACTACTTACTGCAACACAACATATATTTCTTTTGTGAGATGAATATTCCATCATTTCTCTATCTTGCCTCTATACCGAGGAAGTAACTCATCAAGCCAAGATCAATCATCTCAAAGGTCTTCATCATGTCTTCTCTAAAATCCATTATCATATTTGTATTGATTCCAGTATAAATAAAATCATCTACATATAAGCAGAGTAAAAGAGTATGCTGACCTTGAGTCTTGATGTATAGTGTAGGCTCACTCTTACTCCTCCTGAATCCATGATCAGTGAAGTATTGGTCGATCTTACTATACCATGCTCGAGGAGCTTGCTTTAGGCCATATAAATCTTTCTTCAATCTCATTACTTTTCCTTCATGGCCTTTCATCACGAATCCTTGTGGTTGCTCCACATAGATCTCTTCTTCAAGTACACCATTTAGAAAGGCAGACTTGACATCCAGTTGATAGATGTTCCATCCTTTATGTGCTGCAAGAGCTATTAAAGCTCTTATTGTGTCTAGGCATGTGACTGGAACAAATGTCTCATTGTAGTCCACTCCTGGTTGTTGTGAGTAGCCCTTAACGACCAATCTTGCTTTGTGCTTTTGTATAGTTCCATCAGGATTAAGCTTTGTTTTATATACCCATTTTACTCCAATGATATCTTTTCCATGAGGGCAATCTACGAGCTCCCATGTATTATTCTTCTCAATCATTTTAATCTCTTCTTCCATAGCCTTGACCCATACTTCTTGGTTTGCTGCCTCTTCAAAGTTTCTTGGTTCAAGTATGGCCAAGTTGCAGGTTTCATATATATCTATTAGTGATCTAACTCGTCTCAGAGTAAACTCAGGTGATGATTCTTCTTTTTCTGGAACTATTCTTGGAGATTCTGGAGAGATAACAATGTCTTGATTATTGTCTTCCAAACTTGATTTATTTTTTTTATTTATTTGCATTTAGATAGTCTTCTTCTCAATTCACTTTTCTTCGCAGTTCCAAGTAGCATTTTCATCTACTTCAATATCTCTACTGATTGTTAGCTTCTTTGTCTGAAGATTGTAGACCCGGTAGCCTTTTGATTGTGAGTTGTAAATATCACTTCAGACAAATATCATAAAATAACCCTAACAAATGGTACCAATTGAAATAATTTTATTGTATGGATTTGGTTGAAGGATATTTCGTTTTGTTCCAAAATAAGTTGAATACAATCATAACCCCTCATAACATATAATGTGATATATAAAGACAAATTTCGCTGCATGAAAAGATAGGTCCCTTGTTCGAGGGGATGATTGTTGGTATACAAACAAGTCTCACATCGATAAAATAAGACAAGAAATAACAACTTATATAACACAAAAATACTTCAATGATCGAGAGGCCTTTTGGGTGATGACCAAAAACAAAATCGTGAGGGCTTAGGCCCAAAGCGGATAATATCTCATCATTGTGGAGTATGTTTGTGTAATAATCTTATAAAAATAACTCTCATAAAATATTCCCTCAAACAAATATCATAAAATAACCTAACAAATGGTACCAATTGAAATAATTTTATTGTATGGATTTGGTTGAAGGATATTTCATTTTGTTCCAAAATAAGTTGAATACAATCATAACAAAAAAAAAATAAGTTGAGGAATTGTGGCTGGTTTTTAACCACAAAGTTATGTTGCAAGAATTTAATTTTTGTTATAGAGATGTATATGGTAAGAGAATGATATAGCTTAAAGATGAGTTGTATATGTCTATTTAGTAATTTTGGGAGTATGTCTAGAAGTGATTGGTAAAAGAATTTTTAAAGTCATATACAAATACTTTTTATCAAATATTTGGTGGGCATGCATTATGGCTATGATAGAAAGTAAGATTACAATATGGAATTCGAACTCAAATTTTGTGAATATATGATTAGACTAATAAAAATAAGAGTTTCACATTTTATATTGAATTCATTAACCGTTATGTTTTTCTTGTTTTTATTGTTGTGTTACTTAGAAAATTGAATTTTAAAAGGGATGGATCATGTTTCTTTTTTTAAAAAAAAAAGATAAACAATAAAAATATATTATATTCATGATAATTAAATCCTTGATTGTTATCTATTTATATTATTATTTCATATTTTGCTATAATTATATAGTTTTATTATTTGTATATTACTCGGAAAAAAATTATCCTTATAATGTAATTTTTTGATGAGATTATTTTATGGTATTTGTGAGAGGATATTTTATAAGGGTTATTTTTATAAAGTTATTTCACACGCAACTTCATAACGATGATATTATCCGCTTTGGGTCTAAGCCCTCGTGGTTTTGCTTTTGGTCATCAATCAAAAGGTTTCTCAATTGTTGAAGTATGTTTGAGTTTTTCTTATGTTATTGATGTGAGACTTGTTTGTATCCCAACAATCCTCCCCTCAAACAAGGGACTCAACATTTCATGCAACAAAATCTATTTTTGTAGATCATATTATCAATTATAAAGAGTTATTAAGGGTTGTTACCGAATCCAACCTGCGGCTCTAATGCCATTGATGGGGTTTTATTATAGTATTTTTCTAAGTGGATATTTTATAAGAGTTATTTTTTTATAAAGTTATTTCACACACAACTGCATAATGATGGGATATTGTCCGCTTTATACCTAAGTATTCACGGTGTTACTTTTGGTCATCACCCAAAAAGTCTCTTAATCATTGAGATATGTTTGTGCTTCTATTATTTTATTAATGTGAGACTTGTTTGTATCCCAACATTTTCATATGTGATCTTTAAGGAATTATAAAAAAAAATTATTTGTCAATTTATTTTTGTTACTTTGGAATTTATATATTAAATTTTTTTAAAAGGGATAATGACCAATAAATTACAGTGTTTGAAAATAAATTTTCAATTATAACATTTATTTTCAATTTATTTATCAAATATTGTGCTACAGTGATAAAAAAAAAGTCAATATGTAATAAAAACAAATGCTTGATTGTAATATATTTTTGCAACCGCGTATGTTATATTTAAAAGTGTTTTTTAAAAGAAATTTTGAATGTTAAACTATAGCAAATGAAGAATATCTTAATTATTATATTTATAGATTATTAAGAGAGAGAAAAAAAAAGAATTATCCTTACATGTAATTTTTAATCTATGATCTTTAAGAAATTGTAAGAGATATTATTTGTTTGTAATTTACATATTAAAAAATTTTAGAAGGAACAATGACCAATAAATTACAATATTTGAAAAAAAAAATTAATTATGATATTTATTTTCAACCTGTTTATCAAATATTTTGATATGGTAATAAAAAAGTTAATATATAATAAATTTTGATAAATAAGAACAAATGTTTGATAGTAATATTTTTTGCAACTCCATATCTATGTTATATTTAAAAGTTTTTTTTAAAAAAAATTATGAACATTAAACTATAACAAAAGAAGAATATCTTAATAACTATATTTATAGATTATTAGAAGAAAAAAATTGTCCTTATCATGTAATTTTTATTTGTGATCTTTAAAGAAATATTTATTCGTAATTTATTTTTGTTACTATGTAATTAATATATTAAAAAATTTTAAAAGGAATAATGACAAATAAGTTATAATGTTTTGTTAGATATAAACAAGCCCATCAATAAAATAAGAGAACAAACAACTTATAAAACACACATACTCCAATGATCAAAAGATTTTTTGGGCGATGATTAAAAATAAAATCGTGAGAGTTTAGGCTCAAAACGGATAATATTTAATTATTGTGGAATTATGTTTGAAATAACCTTTATAAAATATTCCTTTAGATAAATATTATAAAATAATTTCATTATGTTTGAAAAGAGATTTATAATTATAGTATTTATTTTGAACCTATTTATCAAATATTTTGATATGGTAATAAAAAAAAGCCAATATATAGTAAATTCTGATGAATAAAAAAATGTTTGATTGTAATATTTTTTTCAACTCTATATCTCTAACATATTTAAAATATTTTTTAAAATAAATTATGAACATTAAACTAAAGTGAATGAATAATATTTTAATTATCATATTTATAAGTTACTAGAAAAAGAAAAAAATATTATCCATACCATGTAGTTTTTATCTGTGATCTTTAGGAAATTATAAGAGATGTTATTCGCTAAGTTATTTTTGTCATTTATAATTGACATACTAATTTTTTTAAAAAAGGATAATAACCAATAAATTATAATATTTAAAAGAGATTTATAATTATATTATTTATTTTCAACCCATTTATCAAATATTCTAATATGGTAATAAAAAAAAGACAATATATAGGAAATTTTGGTGAATAAGAAAAATCGTTTAATTTGATTGTAATATTTTTTTACAACATCATAACTATACTATATTTAAAAGTTTTTTTTGAAATAAATTCTGAGCATTGAACTATAAGGAATGAAGAATATCTTAATTACTATATTTATAGATAACACAATCATTATAATTTATTAAATATATAAATAATTTGTTTAGTATTTATACAATTATGAATATTTTTAAAATTTTCAAACATTAATGTAAGTATTCCCCGTGCATCCCACGGGCCTATACACTAGTTGA